AAATTGTATACCGTATGCCTTTAATTTGTCAATCAACAGTCAAAATTTTAATGTACAATAATATGTTCGTGCAGCGTCTCAAATTGTTCACGATAAGGCCCTTTAATTTACAGCAAAACTACCACCATTCGAGCTTGACATCAGTTCACTGATGTAGCGATGTAAAAACTAAACCGGTATAATTTCGTATTGACAACAGGAACGTTTCTTCAATTGAAATTGAAAACTCTTTATAGTTTTCGTCGATTAACATGAAAGTGTTTCTTCCAATTAAATAACAATGAGATACCGGTACGGGGTACAGAATAAAACGCAGCGGTTTGTCATGCAGTACAATCGAAGCAGTTTAGCTTTCCTCCTCTGAGTCAATGAAGTACTCGATCTCCTCGATGTCGGCTTAGTCACACATGCGGTAGTCCGGTAAACCATCGATATTTATTTCACTGTCCCTGCTATCGGAAATGGGTAGTGAAATTCCGCATTTCACAAATGAACGGTTAACTGTCTCTTTCACCCGGCGCGAGGTCTCTTGCCATGCCGTACCCACCCATTTCGTGAAAAGCACACGCCGATCACCAGCAATCACTTTTCCCGACAAGTGTTCCGTGGCTAGTCTGTCAATATTTTTCTTAAATTCCGCATTAAATGTAACATGGAGTGATTAAACCTTGCTCGTTGCGCCTGGAGGTACAAGCCTCAATGTCATCTGGCACTCTTGCGTCAGAATGGTCTCTACCCTCTCTGTTGTTTGAGCTCTATGCACATCATAGATAAGAAGTCTATCGCCTAGTTGACCAAACATGTTTGGCTTCTTCCACATATTTCTATGCCAGGAGACCATAATTTCCTCGTTGCACCACGCGTTCTCTTGGAACTTGACCACGACTCTTGGATCATACTGCCTCTTTTCTCTGTCTGGAACTCTTTGTCCTTTGCCCTTAAAGATCAACAAGGGTTTAAAGCAAGGCTCACCATCGGCAAATGTGGTCAATTGCACGGTACACCGTGTCTTATCATGGCCTTCACTTGTCGTTCGAGTCCATACTGACTTTTATCCTTTTTCTACATAAATAGCTCCCTTGGTGTCGAGGTGTTTGATCCATATTAGCTATATCGCTTAATTCCCAGGGACCTACAATGCCTTCTTGGACACCCTTCAGCTCAGTTGTTTTAACTGTTGCCATTCTCCTGAGATATCTGTGAAATTGTGAATAGAAGTACGTCGTGTTTCAGACTGTTTGTGTTCAGCATTTGTTGGGCGCCGCAGGCTGAAATTTCTGAGGAGAAAAACCTTTGACGATGGCGCGTAGTGCAAGACTGCGCACAAACTTACGTTGCAAAAAAGTTTCATCTCAACAAATTCAAATTTGTATTGGCTTCTTCAATACAACGTTTGAAAATAAAAGGTTCGTAAAAATTTTTAAAGGCTAAAAAGGTAATAAACGATTAAATTTAAAAGTCCATCACCCAAAAATAAAGGCCAGAGGTCGCTTTCGACTGATCTCAGTTTTTTTCTCTGTCATTTACATGACAAGAGGAATGATACTAGTATGCGACAAACGAGCAGAAAATTTATCATCTTTATTTCTTTTTCTTTTCCCTTTTTTCATTTATAGGACACTTTGGTTTTGAATTAGACTGAGAAAAATAAAATTTCACAGTTACAAGTTATTTCTGTGTGTATCATATTGTTAGCGATCGACGTGGGTCGACTTTTAGCGGGATTTGGCATTCTTGTCTTACCCAGACGTATCGTTAACTCCAAAGCTAATTTCGTCCCTTTAAAGTGCTACGTTTTTTTTTTGTTTAATAGGTACTGTTAAGCATATTTTGTTTTTAATTTTGAGCTTCAGACTAACTCAATCGGGATGGAACGGAAAAAACAATGTTGAAAGGTTTGAAACCTCGCGGTTTAACTCAACGGGAACTTGCAGTAAACAGGCGCAGCAACATTTTCGAGTCGCCCATATTTGAGAGCTGATAGAGGCATTGCCTGACACAACGGCAAATTGGCCTATAGACTGGGACATCCTATTTGGCAAAATCGATATTTGCATATGAATAAATGAATAATTCTATGTGGCGTAGCTCAAGAACGAGAGAGCGAGGAAATGTCGATGAAGCAGGCGAAGGTTGGATTTGTTTCCTTTTTTTTTTATTAATGATTTCGCACCGTGTAGGAATATGCACAGAGAATTCATTTTTAAAGGTGAAATATTAAATATTCTGCGAGAAATCGCGGTAATGCATTTTCATCTTCGTCTACTTCGGCTTAAGGAAGTTAACGGGATTTCTTCTTCATAGTGCAGATATTTGTATTACTTTCTTTGGAAAACACCTCTTGCTATAGAATGCAGTTAGTCAACGTGTTTAAGTCATTTTACTTATAACTTTTGGGCACGCTAAATTCACAACTTTCACAGGTGGACTTAAACGTGTACTGTCCGTCGAGATTATTATTCTGTTCAACGCTTGTTTACGGCTTGTAATATGTATCTTTTAACTTGCTAAAGGCGAGAAAAAGTAACTCACCATAGATTTTCCTGCGCCGTGTGAAAAATGCTCTGATAATTCATTTTAAAAGGGAGATCTTTTCGTTTCAGATATTGGGTGAGCGACCCAAGGCTTGATTTAGGAGTAATTTAAAGATAAATTGTGTTTATTTCAGAAACCATCCACTCTCTCTCCAATTTCGTGTAGGTGCTCGTTTTTGGCTAAAATAAGTCTTCGTATTTTTCGACCTTCTGTCAAAGATCAGTAAAACTACAAAGAATTTCTCTAATTTTTTTCATCATGATTCGCGTCCTCCGTTTCGTCGATTGAGACAGAACTAAGCGAAAGGATATTTACATATTCAACAGACGAGACGGTGAACTGTCACAGTTGGGAAATCGATACATCTGTCAGCGTCAACCAAGTGTTTTCTTGAAGAAATAATCGTTTACGCGTTTATGGATAACCTTATAGAATTTCCATTAACTGTGTTTAAAAGCTAAAATGAAAACATGAAACGACACCAGTGCCGCGAAGAAGGGATCGTTTAACTCTTACTCGGCTATTTTGACCCTAGGTTATTATAGGTAATCACATGATTTCGAGTGCAATTTGGGATAAATCAGCTCGATTAAATTTCCTTGTCTTCAACCGTTCTAGAAATAGATTATGACATTTTCGATTTTCATGCACTTACACACGCATGGCTTGCGGCGTGGTCGAATTTCTCGGCGTGATTTATATTGGAACAGAAATTACCAACTTGAGAGGCAAGAGAAAAGAGAAAGCGAAAGTCGTCATGTTGAATTTTGTTTTCTGTATCGCACAAAACGTTCTCCCTTTTCAGCGGAAATTTGCCGAAGTTCGACAATACCACAAATAAGACCAAGACTTACCTCACCTTTTGAATTTGGTGAAAATCGTTCAAAATCAAATTTGAAATTTGCATGATCATAGACAACAATGTGAACTAATCTTATATTTAAGCAGTGCATAATTTCTTCCATGTTGACATACTTATACTTTCATCTAAGCATGAGGGAGAGTTGGGAGAATTCGAGAAAGTTATGCGAACCCTTGACAGCGTCTTGGGTTTGCATAGCTTTTGAGGACGGAGGACGTGACTAAAATCTTAGCGTAGTCTCTGTTTTTCCCCATTTTCCCCCTAATTCAACGTAGTTTATATATATTTATATATCGATTGGTAATACTTCCCAAGATTCCGAATTGCATGCCACATTCAAATCAACTTTTCTTTCCCATTGATTAGGAAGGGATCAACAATTAGTATTTGCATACTTTACTAATATGTTTAGCGCTAAATTTTAAAATTCAGCATTTCCAGCTATCCATACTCGAATTCTACAAAAGATTTTCGCACACTGTGTAACCATGACTATGTCGTTAAGTCGCACGGGATCGTTCGGGACAGAGCCTGATACTGAGAAAATACCAGACCTCATATGAACAGTGGTAAAGTGATCTGATTGGTTGCTCCTATTTCACCGGTTTGGATTGGTTAATTGGCTATCTAAAGTTCGGTCGAATACAAAATAATTGATTCCACGCAGATACTAAAAAGGAAAGCAAATATCAGCTCAGGAGTTTAAGAACACAGAAAGCCATTTTCTTTGATACTTTTTTTGTAACAGCTTAGTTTTTACTGTGAACACAAACGCGCATACGCAGCGGGCAAGTTTGGACATGCCTTTTACTGTGATCTTGTCAAAAGTGCTTGTTGCATTGATCGTTAATTTCAGGAAGAGAATTCATCATCACACAGAAACAGAGGCTGGAATTTGACCATGAAATTTTTGAGAGCTATTTTATCGCTTAAGCACCTTGGAAATAGTCGAGGAACAGGCAAACCTTCTCTTCCTCGCACCACTGGTGTCGTTTCAAGTAAGTGTATAGTAGCTCGCGGAACTTTACTTTCTGCGTGGGTTTAAAAGTCTTATTTGTCGTTAACGATAACAATGTGCTCGACTGTCTGAGTTATCTATTTATCATTGGTTAAGTGAGTCGCATCTAGTCGCGAGCGATGAATTTCACGCGCTAAAATGTAATGAAATGCTCTAATAAATCGATTTCATCATGGAGACGCTAAGTAGTTTAAGCGTTGCTAGAGGAAATAAAGTTGGATGTGTTGAGTTCCACACCCTGCCTTCTATAAAATCGTTATGCCAATAATTTTCTAGCTTTTAAAAACGATGGACGGAAATTTTTTGACTATCCGAAAACGAAAATGATGACCTATTCAAAACAGCATTCGATTACTGACAGACCTATACATTTCCATACAATAATTTTCTGGGCACAGCATTTACTCAGGCATAGCAGATAGCAAAGTAAAATGCATTCAAACATAGACATTCCCTGAAAAATTGAGAACAATTTTCATGAAACTTACCTATGACGTAATAAACTAATGAACAGAAAGTAAGTCATAGAAGGTATGGCCTACCTTGACACAACTTAGTAATCCTTTCCACATCATTTTAAAGTAAAATTACAAGTCTTTGCGCAGATAGAAATTAAAATACTGTGCTGCACCACATTCGAAAAAAAGAAAATAAAAGAGATTTGTTTTTTACACAAATATATCTTGCATAACAATTCAACTTAATATGCTTCGTCTCTAGTAGTTTATGCATTGCATAAGAGGAAATAAAATTAGATTTGGTGAGTTTCCACACCTCGCCTTCTACAAAATCGTTATGCCAATAATTTTCTCGATTTTAGCAACAATTGACAGAAATTATGTGACTATCTAAAAACGTAAGCGATGATTTATTCAAAAAACATTCGGTCGCTGACAGTTCTAAACATTCCAATGAAACAAATTGTTGGGCACAGCATTTACTCAGGCATAGCAGGTAGCAAAGTAAGATGCATTCAAACATCGACATTCCCTAAAAAATTGAGAACAATTTGCGTGAGATTTACCTATGACGTACGTAGTAAACTAAAGAACAGAAAGTAAGTCATAGAAGGTATAGTCTACCTTGACACAACTTAGTAATCCTTTCCACCTTATTAATTAAGAGGAATTTTGAACAAAATCATCATAAACTACGATCATAAGACTTCACAAAGATAAAACTTACAATACTGCGCTGCTCTACATTTCGAAAAAATAAACATAACATAGTTTTGCTTTTAAAACAAGTAAATATTGCGTTACTATTCAACTCAATATACTTCGTCTCCGGTTTGCAACAACCATATCGAAAGATTCATTCCCCATAGAAAAATAATTAAGAGAAAATTAAATCCGGATTGATTCCCTTTCACATGACGAGTAGTCACAAGAGCAAGCCACACTTAAAAGTGTCGTAGTCCACGTTTTGAAGTACGTTTATTTACACCCCCAGTGTCCTGAGGAAAACAGAAATTTGTCGATTACAGACCCCGGAAAGTCGATTTAAGGCGCTTCTATTAGCGATTACGACATGACGTACAGATACATAGCATAAACTAGTGATGAAATTAAAACTGTCCAGAGGCCACAAAAATAGCTGCATTGTTTCGGTCTCAAATATTTTCCTTTGGAGACTGTGAAGAAGATTTTAAGGGTCATTTTGATCATTATGGCCGGGTCAAATGTGTCTGGGCCGGTTCTGCCACGACGATTTTTTTGTCGCTACCGTGTTACCTTGTCTTCAGCCGTTCTAGAAATTGACCAGTGTGATTTTTCGATTTTCATGGTGTAACAATGTCCATCAAAATCTTCTATGAGACCGCATACCCGCGCATGGCATTTGGTAGCTCTATTTCCCTCGGCGTCATCTAATACTGAAACTGAAATTACCAACTCGATAAATCTGTTCAAAGCCGTCATGTCGATTTTTGTTTTCAATATCACATTAAACGCCGTTCACTTATCAGCGAACAAGTATTGGAATTAATCGACAATACCACAATTAAGACAAACGTTACTCTTGAATAAAGTAAAAATCGTTCACACATAAAAATTTTTTCTCTCGTAGACCCATCAAACCCTGCGTATTAAGTTCACACATAAATCGCTCGCTAGAACACGCATTAACTAACACGAAAAGCACGACGAAGATGACCACAAAGTACATGCAGAAAAAGGAGAGACAATTCAAAAGTGACGAATTTGTCGATTCAAGCAAACCGCATTCGTGTCTATACAGATGTACTAAACCCATGCCATGAAATTTATCATCATTCCGGGCTGTCAAAATAATTAAATCTAGTCTAACGTTAGAAAAATGTACAGCTTTGCACAAAAAAGAATATTAAAATAGTTTATATTAGTACTCTGTTAATCACAGTCAGGAGCGGGGCTCCTGTCACAGTTTAAAAACATTTAACCAATCAACTGCTCGAGGAAGATATATATACACAAAGTGTAAAATTTTGACGTTCGTAAAACGGTGCTCAATACACAGGAGTAGAGCGATGTATGCATTGTGGGAGGAAAAACTGAAACTAAACTGTTAAATTTCGCGCTACATAAATTAGATTATATTGTATACAAGTGATGGTAAAGATTATTCTCACTAAATCCCCTGATGAGTGGGCAACCACGAAGCAGGTCTGTTCGGATGAACTCGTAGTTTATTTGTCTTTTTCCTCCCACAATATGTATACATATCGATTGGTAATACTTCCAAAGACCCCAAAAAGCGTAGCACATTCAAATCAATGTTTCATTGGCCTTGATTAGGAAGGGATCAACAACTAGTACTTGCATAATTTACTAATATGTTTAACATTTAAAGTACAGCATTTCCAGCTATCCATTCTCGAATTTTACAAAAGATTTTCCGCACACTGTGCAACCATGAGTATGTCATTAAGTCGCGCAGGATCAGTCGGGACAGAGCCCGATACTGAGAAAATACCAGACCTCACGTGAACGGTGTTAAGGCGACCTGATAGGTTGCTCTATTTCACAAGCTTCTGGTCGTTAACTGTCTGGCAAGCTAATGTTCGGTCGAATGAAAAATAATTGATTCCACGCAAGTACTGAAAAGAAAAGCAAGGTTAGATTCATTTTTGGTTTTGTGACGTTTAAGAGCACACAAAGTCATTTCATTTGATTTTTTTCGTAACAGCTGAGTATTTACCGCGAGCATACGTAGCGGCCAAGTTTGGGCATGCCTTTTACTGCGATCTCGTCAAAAGTACTTTTTGAATTGATCATTAATTTCATGAAGAGAATTCATCATCACACGGAAACAGAGGCTGAAGTTTGATTATGAAATTAATCCGAGCCTTTTAATCGCTTAACCACCCTGAAAATAATCGAGGAACAGTAAAACTATCTCTTCTTCGCATCACTGGTGTGACAATCGTTTCAAATAACGTTTTAACTCACGGAACTTTATTGTCTAGGGTTTGAACGTCTCATAAGTCGTTAGGGATAAAAATGTGCTCGACTGTCTAAGTTATTAGTTGACTGAGCCGGATCAAGTCTCAAGCGATGAATCTCAGATACTCAAATGAAATGAAATGCTTAAAAAATCAATTTCCTCATGTAGGCGCTAAGTAGTTTATGCATTGCATAGGAGGAAATATAGTTAGATGTGGTGAGTTTCCACACCTTGCCTTCTGCAAAATCGTTCTGCCAATAGAGTTCTAGCTGTTAGCAACGATTGACGGAGATTTGTGACTATCTAAAAACGTATGCGACGACTAGCAAAGTAAAAAGCATTTGATTGACCTACGACGTAGCTAACTAATTAATGAACAGAAAGTTAGTCATAGAAGGTGTCATACGTTGTATCAAGGTAGGCCAGTGGCCTACCTTGATACAACGTAAACCGTTCCACGTCATTGATTAAGCAGAATTCAAAACAAAATCCTTCATCGTAAACTAAAATCACAAGTCTTCACGAAGAAAAAGTTCAAATACTCTGCTGCAATACATTTCAAAAAATAATAATTAAATAGTTTTGCTTTTTAAATTAATAAATCTTGCGTTACGATTCAACTTAAAATGCTTCGTCTCCAGTTTGCAATAACCATATCGGAAGATTTCATTCGCCACAGAATAGGAATTAAGAGGAAATTTAATTCGGATCGATTCCCTTTCACATGACGAGTAGTCACCAAAGTTAAAAGTGTCGCAGTACAAGTTTCGAAGTACGTCCATTTACACCTCCAGTCTCGATTATTTTGGTTTGGAGACTGTGAAGGATAATATTATGATCATTCTCATTATTATGGACGGGTCAAACGTGTCTCGGCCGGTTCTGCCACGATGAGTTTTGCTACTCTTCCATTGTCATCAGCCGTTCCAGATCTAGGTCATGTAATTTTCGATTTTCATGTTGTAATAATGTCCATCAAAAGCCCCTTTGAAGTCCACTGACTGTAGGGCTAGTAGGCGTACCGCATACACGCGCATAGCATGTGGTAGGCTCTATTTCCCTCGGCGTCATTTAATACTGAAACTGAAATTACCAACTTGAAAAATTTGCTTAAAGCAGTCGGGTCGAGTTTTGTTTTCATTATCACATTGAACGCCGTTCACTTGTTAGCGAACAAGCACTGAGGGTAATCAAAAATACCACAAATAAGACAAACGCTATACTTGAATAAGGTAAAAATCGTTCAAAATCAATTTGGAATTCGTATGATCACAGACAACAACGCTGACTAATCTTATATTCATATATAACTTGTGACAAAATCAACAAACTCAGCAAAGCAGTGACGCAGGTTCATTTACGAGATAAATGAAATATTTTAACTCTGGGAATACTAAATATAACACGCAAAACGTATTTATCACAAGATAAATTAAAGGTTGGCTTACTTGCTTACCTCCTTGATAGTTCTCGAAGTTTTGCATTTCATATTCTCAGCTTGGCCCAAATTAAATGTAGGCCACCAAAATCTGCATGCTCCCAAGAAGACCTAACGTCCGAGAAGACTACATTCATTACCGATCTTTCAGGACTACTTGTGAAAGCCCTAACAATTCTTGTATAATGTATCAAAGCTCGCCAAATAGTGTAGAGGATCTTAATCCGTAGGATCAATACATATGGCGTTACTATACTTTTGCCAATGAACTGGAGCTCAGTCTCCCTAACGGTAACTCTTCACACAAATGTTAAAAGATTATTTAACTTTAACACTCTTGACTTAAAAATGGTGGACCTGGAATCCTTTTCATGATTCTCAAACATTAATAAAAGCTAAGCTCGACATGTAATACCTCGCATTATCCGGCGATGAACATCATTTTCTAGGAACGAAATGAAATGTTTAAAAATCGTGCGGGTTATAAGTTGTCTTAAACGGCGTGATGATAAATTTTCAGTTCGTTTGTCGCGCACTAGTAGCGTTCCTATTTTCATGACCTCTGGCCTTTATTTTTGTATACGGCGTGACACTAATCCCTACTTGAAATAAATTATCTATGTAGAAGCTTACGCATCGACTTGGTTGGTGAGTTGCTTCTTATCACCTTTGCTGAATTACTAAACACAAACTTAATTTCAGGCCTTTAGCCAAGGAAGAGGACGAATTTCTGAGGAGAAAAACTGACCTATGAGTATGGCCCGTAGTGCAAGATTGCGCGAAAAATTACGTAATAAATAATAATTCCATTTAAACAAATTGAAATTTGTATTGGCTTCTTCAGTACAACTTTTGAAAATGAAAATTTCGTAAGGAGATTTAAAACGAGTAAATTAAAAGTCCATCACCTAAAAATAAAGGCCAGAGGTCATGAAAATAGGAACGCTACTAGTGCGTGACAAACGAACTGAAAATTTATCATCCCTTTATTTTTGGATTTCTTTCATTTTTCTGTTTCATTCAAACACATTACACTCGTGTCTCGCATTATTACCGGAATGTAGCATTAATTCTTGTCTTACCCAGGCGTATCGTTCACTCCAAAGCTAATTTTGTGGCTCTTAACTTCTTTTTTCGGAAATATGTACTGTTCAGAATATTTACTTTTTATTTTGAAAGATTTGAAACCTCGCGGTTAAACTCGACGGGAACTTGCAGCTACACATGCCATGTTCAGGATACGCGGTCGCACGTACTTAAGGGCTTTTACCATAGCAGCTTGGCTTAAGAGCGAAAAAGGAAGGAAAACGTCGATGAAGCAGACGAAGGTTGGATTTGTTCCCTTTGTGTTATTAGTGATTAAGCACCTTGTAGGAAGATGCACAGATAATTTATACTAGTTAATAATATACCAGCAAAAAATGACTCTATTTTCCTTTCTAGTTCAAACTTTTAAAATATCCCTTGAAAAATTAACCGTCTGTACTCTTTCTCCGTTAGATATCAGTCGACAGCAGTAAACATCAAATGAAAGCTATCACGCTCGTAATCTTCCCCGTCTTTCGTATGAACTGTTGCATTAAACACCTCGAAACATTTGTTTCTCCATCTACTTTAAAATACAATGAATTTATTAGAGTGAGAAAGATGGAAATTCGTCTCACAAATTTCTCTTTGTCTCGAATTGTTAGCGGTCGACGTGGGTCGAGTATTACCGGGATGTGGCATTCTGCGTCTCCATGAGGTCAAAAGACCCGAGCCTACAGGTGGGATGCGTTACTGTGCACCCAAAATCACTCAGGGTGAGTAATATTGTAGGCTATCACTTGTTATATCTGTAAGGAAATACACACTTAGAAACATTACCATGCTCAAAGAGCATTATAGAAAAAAAAGAAACCTGTGTTGCAGAACAACTGTGGTTGTGGTTTTTCCGATGTTATTCTGGTGCTATTTTGGACAGAAAAATGCGGCGGGTAAACCATTCCTTTCACAGACTAACTTCCTATAACCCTTGGCAGATCTTGAGCGCTGGGTACAATGGATTTCCTCCCGGAACTCCAAACAAGGACGAAAACTGGAGAAAAGGTAAAAAAGATGATTTTGTCGTCCACGCGGAGGCCAACACTGTGCTCCTGGCAGGCCAAGCTGATCTTGAAGGTTCAATTGCCTTCGTTACAATGTATCCCTGTCGGGAGTGTGCGAAAATGTTAATAGCGGTGAGTGATGTCGAGAACATTCGTATAACTTGATATAGTGAAACCTGTGTGAGACGGGGCCCATAAGCGAGAGAATTTGCATCTTAAAACCTGTATCATATGGATGGCTTAGTGAGAACTTTGAGTGTTGTCTTCATTTCATGCATTAAAATTAATTTCAAACTTTTTCAGATCTTTTTAAAATGGCTATTAGGAAGGTTCCTAATCGTTCACTCTGAGTTAAGAACTAGCCACTATTACACAATTCTGAAAATGTTCTTATGCTTGTGCGCGCCAGCGGGAGTCCGTGAGTTACCGATTTCAAAAGAGGTTACTGTACAGTCCCCTCTTCCATTGTGAAATGTATGTTTACTACCTGTGTGTCTTAGAGTGCAAATTTGTGTCCTTATATCCTAGGGATTAAGTGTTTGTTTTATTACGCAGACGGTTCAGTTGGTTTCCCTCAATATGGAAGTGATAATTAATTGATGACTATCTCTTGTTCCATCTGTAGAAGGGTGTCCGTAAGGTTTATTATCTTTCATTAAAAAAAAAATACCAAGCGGATTCAACTGCCATCTTTAAAGAAGCCGACGTCGAGGTCGTGTAAGTAATAACTCTGGTTAGACTGAAATCAACTCTGATAACAACTTGCACATATTTGTGGTGAGAACATTCTCAAATATAAACATCATAATGGTGAATGAACAAAAAGAAACAAACAAATGCACCATTGCATCCTATGATCTGGGTTTCAACATCAGAACTCAGTTCCCCAGTTCGAGGGAATATGCCAGGTGAAAGAATAAAAACAATGATAAGTAACTGCATAACTGGGAATTTAGCAGGTGGAAATTACACCAGGTGGCTCTTCTTTTCAACTGTTCCAGATCGATTTGGAATTTGGATTGTTGGTTTATGTTAAGGAAGGAGGACCATAGGATCAAAAACAAACTCAACCGCATCTACAATGATTGTGCGAAAAGTTATAAGCTTACGCAAAAATTTTAGTGTTTTATGTGTTCTTTTTTGTATACCGTTTTTCTTCGAGTAAGTACCCGCACTCTTATAAGCACCCTACCCCAGATACGCCCTCACCCCTAAGCAACTAAGCCATAATGTCAAACAAGTTCTCCCCCTCTTCTGCCCTCTCGAATGAGTGCTCCCCCTCCTCCTTCACTTTCTTGAATAGAAGGAATACAATAAAAACCTGTTTCTGTGGCCACTTTATCTACAATTTTTTAATTTTCAACTAGAGCGGAATCAGTACGGAAGAATATCTATTTTTTCGTTTTCGTTATTTTTATCTGTGTTCTCGCGGAGTTTTTCTTTTGAATTGTTGTGCTATCGCTGTGCTAACCCGATAAGTGTCCCCCTCGGTTAAGCGCCCCCCTCCCAATAAGCGCCCCCCCTCCCCCTCCCCACTTCTTTCTCGCCGAAGTTTTAAATAAGCACCCGGGCGCCTATTCGAGGAAATACAGTTTGTATCTATTGTCAATATCTATCTTATTCAGTTTTGCTGCAATGACTTTTTTAGATTTATGTATGAGCGATAAAGGAGTGTTGAGACTCTACTGACTTTCCCCTCTTCGCAAATTTTCAAGCAATGCTCGGGTTGTTTGTCTTTTTAGCCACGTGCATCGAGGGGAGAAAACGGTTTTCCCTTAATTTTACTTACTGCCTCTGCAGCTTTTTGCCCATATTTACATTCACCTTTTAGTTAATTAAGAGCAGAATATCATTGATCTATTTTAGGCCCATAAAGCGAGGTGAGGATACAACGCTGGAAGACTACGGGAATCACCTGATCCAGAAGGTTAGCTTCGTAATGCAACAGAACACGACACCGGGTGAACCAAATGATGCCTATAAAGCCTTGAAGAAAAGCACGAAAGAACTAAGGAGCAGCGATCTACAAAGTCCATGGCCGAGAGAGTTAATGGGCAAGGTCAGTAATTGTTAAGTCAGGGGGAAAAAGTATTTAAACTTTATGGAATTTTTTTTTCTGCATCTCTACTGCCAGATTTTTAATTTGAAGCTAAGAATGTTACTATTTTTTCAGTTAGTGAAATATCATTAACCCTATCACAACTCACCATAGAGTATTTGTTAGGCAGTCTTAGCACCGGAAAGTGACAAATAAAATAATATTCTTGAAAAATTTAAATCGTTTGATTCTAGATCTTACTGGACAAATGGACAGACTATTTTCTGTTCTTGGCTCTCATTGCCAGCACAAGATCTTTGGAAAACCCTCAAGGAGCAATCTTGATAGATTCTAAAACCTTAAAGGTATGTATTGGAAAATTTCAATGTTACCCACATCGATACATAAAGGACCCTATAGACATTTAGGACGGATCGCAGCAAAAACGTGACACTGCTTAAGTTAAACACTCAGAAAAAAAGATGGACCTTGAATATCCAACTCTAATTTATCTTAAGATTAACAAGGAACCTGTAAATGCAGCGTGTAAATTTGCAAACAACAAAAAAAATGCGAGTTTAAACCTGCCTTTAATGGAAACGGCAAAGGGCGACAATTAACATTGATTTGACTTAATTTTTTTCTGTGAAAGAAATAAAAAAGGAAGTCTCATGTTTATGTTTGGTACTAAACTCATAACTCAAGTATTAAAATGGTTGGAGGCGGAGGGTTTGAATTCCTGTTTTGTCGTTTTCCCGTTTGCCCTAACCGCTATGCCAAACTTTCCTATTATAATATACAAGACAACCGTCCACGAAATTTTGCATCCCGGTGACTAAAAGTCACGAAGACAAAAACGATTCAAATCGTGCCTGCCATATCCCACAGATCATAAACTAAAGACATTTCTCAAAGTCATGAAATTTATAGAAACGAAACAAAGCCCATGGCATAATTGCTCGGAGGAATGCTACAAGTCAAATCCCTTTCTAAATAAAGTTTCTAATTCATTAATTCAGACACATTGTAATGATATGAATCATACTCATATCTCCTAAACTAGAAGAACTGGTATTGTTGCGCCTCAAAAGCCTGCTCGAGAACCTTTCAATTTGAGTCTGATTTTGCATTTAGGAATCTTTTCGGCTTCTTGCAAAAGTCTGGGATCCTGTGTTCTGGTTATGGTTAGTTATATGTATTGAGCATAATTATCGCTTACCTATCAGCATCCACGTTACATATAAAATAGATCTTTCTTTTAAACTTTCAGATATCGGCGTTATCGTACAACGGATATCCGAGAGGTGTCAGCAACGATAACGCTGATGACTGGATGAAATTGTCTGCGTTAACAAACGCCATTTGTCTTCGATTCAGCGAAGGACACGATTTTATCGCATTTTCAACTCACTTCCCAAAGCTTCATGAAGTAAAAAATCTTGCACAGGTGAGAATCGCGCGATGAAGGCTAAAGCTTTCAAAGTTACTCCGTTAAGTTGTGACAGCAATTTTAGGAGGAAGTACCATTTCTTCAATAGTACGATATTTCTGTAATGCAATTGTCTTGATTAATACCCTTAAATTGTCAAGGTCTCCAAATAGCTCCATTAGTGGTTAATTTCGTATCCAGCACCCTAAGGTAAGCTGATCCAAACGATTAAGCTTGATCGCAATCAATTCCGCAGCAATCCGCGTCAAGTTTCTTAAGATCATCTCTCTTCATCTTTCTCCATTTCTTTCCGAAGGCTCGTCTTTGGAAACCCATGATCATCAAAATGGCCATCCTCATTTCGTGCCTTGGAAAGAGTTGGGCCGTGACATTATTCAAGCTCCAACATGTTTGACTAAGCTTCGACCATTTCTTTGTTACTTTTGCATACAGGCCCAGGTAAAGCGATTGTACTTTATATGGCCAAAGACTCTTGAAGGGGACGACGAAAAGGCGCTGCAAATTATGAAAGACTCTGGAATGGAAGTTGTGTAAGTAACAAGTCAGTTGCCATATAATAATCAATAACGAGTTTGTTTGTTGGATATAAATCTTTTCTGGCTCTGATAAATTACTTGAATTATGAATATGAAATAGCTCACTTTTTACATTTAAAGGCCAATGGATGTTCCTGATTTGGAAAAACTAGGAGAGGCCATAAAATACACCATTGGAAGCCTGAAGGAGGCAGAGAAAGGGCTTTCCTCCGGTGATTGGCCAAGTTACACTTGGACCGAGTATGACTTACAACCAGAACGACACCGTTGGAAGCCTGAACAAACCCCGAAAGCTCGGACATGCAGTGGAGCTCATAGCACATACCATAATGATTCGATTTAGCACCCGGGGCGCTTATTTACTTTTGGTACCTCAAGGGAGGGCGCTTATTCGAGACAGGGTGCTTATTCGGGACAGGGCTCTTATTTAAGTTTTTGAGAAACAACCAAATGGTTAAAGCATAACTTTAATAAAT